ACACAAGGGACACGTTGCTCTGCAAACAGACAGCTGGGAAGGTAAACGCTGACATTTGGATTCAACGTTGTGGAAGATTGCTGACTTGGCTACTTTTCCGGCTCATTCCTTGAGAGGCAGTGGTCACTTTAAACAAAGTGTGCTCTGTAAAGCAAAGACCAATGACATATTGTTACCTTATAAATGTGTTGGCAAACAGTTCCCTATTTAAAGCAATAAAGCGGATTCTAATTTAGACATCTTAACGACAACAACATTAGCATTTACGTTTCTGTCCACCTGGTGAATCAAGTCCAAAAATCACTCTCATTTTAGCTCTGTTTTTGGTCTCCACCAACACCGACAGGGAAATATCTTTGGCAGCTCTTTAGCTGCTAAATGCTCCACTATGTTCACCAGCTAGTCGCTATCTTAATCTGTCTGCTGTTTGATACTGAGCAGGTAGTGAATTCAGAACTTTTTTAAATGCTGAAAACAGCTGCCTGCTGCATCTGGACAAGAGGTTGATGAGCGTTGAAAGTTATTATAACAGTAAAATTTTCAGGCTGAGCTGAAAGATACTGAAACGCTGCAAATGGAGTAGATTCAGGTCATAATTCTCCGGGGGTTTATCGATTTGATCCATTGTTAATAAAATCAGTGCATCTTTAAAAACTTAAATGTATGGTATATTAATTACCTTTGCTGTTTTAGTTGGGAATAATACTATCATGAGGTGAAACACTACGTTTGCCAGGTTAATTCTCACTGTTTTTTCAGAGACCCACAACATATGGACGGCCATATTGGGAAGCCAAATGAACAGATGGACAAAAACTCACATAGTCATTAACTGTCAGGGCTCATTTAAGAGTCAGTATCATAAGCTGTATGTTTTATTTTAAAAGGTCAGTGTTGGTTTTTAATTTCAGTGAGTGAAGTTTGATGGACAGAGAGAAAGAGAGAGAGCGAGAGAAAGAGAGAGAGAGAGAGAATAAAACATGTTTGTTTAAAAAGACTTCACATAATCTATAAATCTATCGGGCTTTATAAGTATTTTACAAAGTCATGAGTGGACGAGATGACCAGGATATCAAATATTTCACCCGTGGACGGAAAAAGATCATTAAGATGTCCAAATTACGTTGGAGCACTTTGTTTTAAAGCAAAAAGTTGAATTTGTATTTGACAGGGGGACAGATGAGCTTGTGAATCTGATGTAATTATTGTTTCGATGCCGGCTCTGCATGGTATGAGAGCTGACAGGACAAGCAGCTCAGGGAAATGTGCACTTCAAGAATGTCAGGGGTTTTAGTTTCACAGAGGAACACATGCAGGTCTCAGGAAATGTCAATGTGCAACACATTAAAAGGTTATGCCTCGCCAGTCGCATGCATGCGAGCAGATGCGTGGACAAACGCATTATCTGGACAATCACAGACTCTCACTCTCAGACATGCAAGCAAAAACACACACACATACACACACCGATTGTATCTGTTAATGCCCTTTTGGCTAATCATTATTTTTGAGTAAGCAGCACAAATGGCGTTTCCATGAGTCTCGCAGACACTCAAATTACTTTTCTTTGCATCATGATTTCTGGGAGAAATGGCAGTGTATGCAAATATATGCTTGAAAAATGGGGCAGAGCTGAACACAAAAAACAAAACAAGAGAGGACAAGTTGTTGTTTTTCCCCCCAGAGAACCTTGAATAATACTCACAGCATTTTACCAGGAAAAAGCTTATTGGGTTTACAATAGAAACACCACTCAACCACCCGCATTCACTTCCCTTTCTACATGTCCTAAATTGAATTTAATAGCTCCAATCAGTGTGAGGATAGTGAATCCCTGCTGCAAATGCACTACTCGTGTTTGAAAAGGGGACAACATCAGTCCCTTTGCCATTAACGTTGCATTACATGTCCTGTTCCACACTGTAATTACAGCTGAGTGCAGACGCATGGTTCGAACCGAGACTTGGAATAATTCAGGTGTTACAAGGAAGAGGCTCACCCTGCAACGCACTCACACACAAACACACACTTTGTCTGCAATCGCCCCCCTTCGGCTGCATGGCTCTGAGCTGAGAGTGTCAGCCAGAGTGTCAGCTAAGACGAGCTGCATGCCAGATACCGTTGGACTATTTCACCCAGAGCTTGGGATCCCAGCCAGAGAATCACTGTGTGTATTGGGCCAGAGGAAGGTGGATGGAGATGAACAGATACAGAATTTCTTGGTCACACTGTGCTGGAGCGGCAGCTGCTCGGAGACTTGTGTGTGACACTGAGCAGAGAAGACTCTCTTTTTCATTTTTCATTTTTCGCTGAAGTGAAGTCCCAGAATATTCTTATAAGTTGCTGTTGGAACAGCAGGCGACATATTCCCACCACAGGGCTGACGATGCCACCATGCAATGCTGAAATCAGCCTCAGCATTATGTTTTTTTCTGGCTTGTTTTTGAAATTGCTGGATTGAGTTTCTCCAGCTGTTCACCCATTACCTCAAGCTAATGATTCACATCATCTGTCTGCACCATTAAAGCAGATATAATTACTTTTTTTTAGCTCTTAGTTAAATTTATGATCACATGACTCTGCAGCTCCCTTCAACTCTGGAGAGCATTTTGGCATCTTTTAGCATGTTTTGGTTTTCTGGTCGCAAATTTACTGTTTTGGTTCCCTCTCATCGCTCTCATTGCTCTCATAGCATCGTTTTGGGTCGCAGCAGACGGCTGTTTGCCCCCAAAAAGCCCTACCTGCTACCTGACTGGCACCAAATGTCAAACAGACAAGGTTAGCGTCTAGCTACTCAATAACATTTACATATATATATATATATATATATATGTATATATATATATGTTAAATAGATAATTTGACCTCCTAAAACTATAATTTGTGGAAGTTATGTTACATCTTGTTATGCTACAGTAACTTCCTGTTTACGTAGTTCAATCGGAGGGAACTACAGATGTTTTCTTGCAACAAAGTCTTTACTATAAGACATTTGTTTTAATGGTGGAACCAGATTTAGTCAATCACCAGGTTGATGGTTACTAAGAACTTAAAGGACTTTACACATAAACCATATAGCTGTGTAGATGTGTAAATTTCCATTTAGCAAATATTTACATCATAACGAGACAAAGTTTGAACTTACAAACAGCAAATGCAACCGGCTCCTGTTGATTCAAGCATCAAGACATTTGCCTGTAACAATAATAAACAACAGCATTTTAACACATTTAAGGATTTTAACAGCATCCTAAATCACACCCCATAAAAACGTGTCTGATAGATGCCTCTATTCTGCTAAAATCTATCCTTGTAAGAGGAAAACAAAGAGTCATGGTAGGAAGCGTGCCGCCTTCACATCTGTCTGTCTCTGCCTATCAGTCCCTTGAGAAGCCATTGATCCATACAGACCCTTTGCTCATATGACCGGCAGACGCTGCAGCAGCGACAGACACTTCTGTTCCTCCCTGACGGCATGACCACTCCTGTTTCCGTCAAGAATGGGTAGGAACCCTGGATCTGTCAACCTTGCAGAGAGCGATGAAATGAAACATGATGACAAGCCAGGCTTGAGTCTTAAGTTTTCGAAACCAGAATACACAGCAAGACATACACTTTTATGTCCTGTAGTTACCCTAAAGGTGTGTAATATCTGGCCCAAATTTTAGTGTAAAACATTCAAAACATGAGCCGACATTATCAACAGAATGTGACAATGTTGACAGCCTTCCTTGGAACACCGCTTGCTCCTTGAGAGGCAATAGTGGGTCACTAGCGTCCAGTCTGTCCTCAGTCCAACATGAGAGGACGAGGAGGTAGATCACGTTAAAGGTACAGGGTGTACGTTTTAATAGTTTATTTATTGGATTAGCAGCAGGGCCGAAGAGGAACAGTTTAGCGGTGAGGATTTTAAGGGAATTTACAGAGGAAGTTGCAGTTTGGGCAGAAATAAATGCTGCGGTTCCTCAAGAACCGACAGAGTTTTCCTGTGTTTTGTTTTCCGGCCATGAAGTCCAAAACAACGGCGTCCCCCCTGTGTTTAGCCACCACGGGTTGGTTTGTTCTTTTCTGGGCTCCTGTAGAAACAAGGCAGCTGTGTAGAGGACCCGCCTGTATGTAAATATAAACGGTCATTCTAAAGTAACTAAAACACAACAATTCTTTATTACACACTAAAGAAAACATGCTGATTAATATTATATTCCATTTCTGACGATATATCCTGCTAAATGTCACACACTGTTCCTTTAATGTTTTGGAAGATTCTCAATCAATATTGCCTCTCACCTATGGGAACTCATTGCCCGGCATTAACTGAGCTTTAAACTCTGTTAAGAACTGCCCCAAGTGTTGACATCCTAATTGATCAATATTCTTATGAGACTCAATACAAACTCAGTTGATTAATCCGTTAAGTAGTATTTAATGAGCGAGCACCGAGAGTTTGGAGCTGTGGTGATATATGTGGAAAACTTTTTCAACCATGCAGTGGATGATAACAGCCTTCAGCAATGACGATAATTAGTTTATTAGTTTATTAATTTATGTAAATAACATAATGAGCTACAAGGAGCTATAGCAAGATAAATGCTGATAGATGTAATTTCATCTCACTGTCTAACTTTTACTTTTTACATTTATGACTTTTTGGCTATTTGCCACCATGCCTCCCGCTAATTAAGGTTGAACATTTAATTGACCAAATACCCAAGTTTAAACTTTTTTATATTAGGATCTCCAAATAAAATCTTATAATCATATAGATCCTTTGATAAGAATGCACAAGGAGGAAGGAGATGTTTGCTGTCATATTACTTCAAACAGAAGTGTGTGACTGCGTTTATTCACTTCAAGGAAATGAAGCCATATTTTGATAATAACCCATAGGAACCCTCCTGGGACACCGTCAATGACCCCTGGTAGCACCCGGACCCTATTTTGAGGAACTCAAAATAGCACCGCGGGCTTAAAAATCAATGGCATTACCATAGATTCTTCTATCCGTTACAGCACTGAATGCCTTTCGCGTGTAGATACAAGAGGGGGAGGGGGGGGGAAGAATGCTTCGATGATTCAAAAACTCTGGCCAATCCCGAGTCACGTGACTCAACCACCGGCAGCGATAGAGAGCGCAAAAGGGACGCAGAGCCTCGGTGTACACAAGTCTGCACACCGACAGTCCACCACCGCTATACGCCCAATTTCTTTTTAATTGAACCCTTTTACTCCCGCTCGGTGAGTACATTTTCCACTGACATTTTCTTAAGCATATTTTTATCCTCTTTTTTTTTTTTCTTGCTTTCTTGACTTGGTGTTCCGACATGGGGGAAATGTTTTCTCGTTTTCTGCATGCAGTGATTTAAATCTTGGATGCTGAGTGTTGTTGCTCCGGCGACATCCGCTGAGAAATAGCCCTATACGTGCTTTGCGGACGCTCTTGATATTTTTTCTTCCCCCCCCCTCCCTCAACACCCCCGCTCTCTCTCTTCTTCTTCTCTTTCCGAAGCAGCTTTCTTTACGAGCTCTCTTGTTATTATCCCGACGTTTTGCTTATTTTCACGCTTTTTCCTCCTCCATCATGGCTTGTTTTGGTGTGATTTTGGTTTTGGTGCTTTCCTCTGATCTTGCAGTGTTTCTCTGGTGTTGGAGGCTGTGCGTCTCCGAGGGCGCAAAAATAACTGTTTTGATTTTCACCTGTGAGGATTTTGCTTTTCTAATAGGTGAGACATTTCACTTTGCTGGAGTTTGTTTTGGTGCTTTCTTTGTACTTCTTTGTGCAGCCTTAACGAGCAAATGGAAACTTTTTGTTTTGCAAAACGGATATCTCGGACAGAGCTGGATTTGCATTGAACTGTCAAATAGTTTTAGATCTTTTAAAACAGTAGATGTGTCTTCAAAACTCAGCAGAACCGCACATCAAAAAGCATGCCACAATTAAAGACATTTTTCATCCTAAATCCATGTTCCTTTTTCTTTTGAGGACTAATGAAACGTGATTTTTTTTTTTTTTTTTTTGAATGTCACAGAATGCAGGATTCATGTTGGCTTTTAATTTGGAAAATTTAAAACAAGTCCATGAATGCCAATGACTGCTGTGCAACACAAAAGAGAAGCAACAACAGATTCCTGCCAATTGAACCAAACACAGCTGTGCTCCTCCGGCCTGATTCTCTTGCTTCACACACAAACCTAACGTTTAGGAGTGATAACTGGCAAACACTCACACATCACACACAGAGAAGCTTGGAAACTTAAACTGTCTGAATGAGTCGACGGAGGACGGGGAGGGTTGGACGGGGTCCTTCAGGCCAAGGCAAATACATTTGCAGCAGTTCATTATGCAAATCAGGCTGATAGATTTGATTAGTAGTCTGACCTTGACATGCAGCCAGAATTCACCCGCAAGCGACAAATTAAAAAACACAAATTCTCCTGCAATTACCAGACAAAAAGAAAAGTGACATTACCATTTTAAATGACCGCTGGAATCACCGCTTTAAAATCCTTGGCCAAAGTTTGTTTTTGTGCTCTGCTAAAAAGAAATGCTTCCAAAACAGTCATAAGACAAAACCTCCTTTCAATCATCCTCGGAAGATACGGGTGAAGGCATTTGACAAGCTATTCCAGCCTTCATACTTTGCAGGTCAGGGAACGGGTGGGGGAAGCCGAGCGTGAAATGTGCTGCTACGCAAACAATACTTATCTGTCACTAGGGATGAGGTGGGAGGCTAGCTCTGGAATAGCCGGCCTATATGCACTGAATCACTTATAGAGGAGGAAAGGAGGAATTTCTGGACCGGGCAGTAATCTGTCTCTGTCCAGTCGAGGACTGTCTTTATGCACCCGTGGGCCGGGATGATCATTGACCCCTAGCAGGTGTGCCATGTGGGCTGCCTTGAAGCCACGCACCACAGAGTCCATCTTCTTTGAGACACGGATGAAAAATGTTTTAGAGCTGCTCCCACTTCCAGACTCTAGGTCATAGAACAGATTTGGGGGGACTGCTTCTCTTTTTACATCCCTGCATGTGAAAGATAACCAAAGAGAAAAACAGATGAGGGAGCCAGACAAAAACATCGAAAGATGATGGCATGCTCACGTGTGTGTGTGTGAAAGAGTGTGTTTCTGTGTGTTAAAATTCACAAACACACACACATATATGATACGCACTTCACATAGAACAGTTCTGTGTTACATTATGCATGTGGTAATACCCACTGCTCCCTATTAGATCTCCTATTCTTGGATCTGTACGCTATGTTCCATGCCGGCATTAGTCATATTCAACATATTTTTCAATACAGAGTCCGTCTTTTCAGCCACTGGAAAGCAGCCGTTTGGATGAACAACGGTATGTGTACGCACCTGATGCTCAGTTCTGTTGTGAGACCTGCCATTAGGCGAGCAACACCAGTCTTTCAGCACCACGGCCAGCTCCTTTTATTATCCATTCACAGAGATAGTGGTGGATTTCAGCACCATGGACAGCTGCTAACACTTTATTACTCTGGCAGCTGGAGCAAGCTGATTCTTGCCTGGAAGTAAAGTGTCTCTACTCACTAACCCCTGCCCTCTCCACCGCACACATCTTATTCTGAGCTATTTCAAGCTCTTTACCCCCCATTCAAAAGGCTGAAAAGGAGATTTCACCCTAGATTAGACAATACTTTCTCTGAACGAGCTCCTGTATAGTTTAAACTTGTTGAAAAAGCTTATTTTGGTCTTTTTAAAACCAGAATTGGAATACATATCTTGTAAAGATGGATATGTAGGTATACAACAAGTATTTGTATTGTTGTTCAACAAAATAACAGGAACACTTACAGTATGCTCACAAAGCCACATTTACCTTGGAGTTGAATGAACAAAAAGATTAAACACCACGAGTTCTAGGAATGTAGTTGTAGTATTGTGTGATATTGTCAGGGTTAACGAATTTTAAATGCCTCCATTCAACATGCTGAAACAATTGGTTTCACCGTGGATAAACTAAACAAAATACTTTCTCAGACAGGGTTCCTGCTGACCAGGGGGTCCATGGAAATATTGACTCAGGTAATTAAAAACAATAAGAATCATGATTTGAGAAAATGAGTCCACATATTTGTTTTAGCATTACAAATTGGTGTGTGGATGATATTTAGTGTATTTGCTTTCTCAATAACCAATAGACTACCAGCTCTGATCGGCCGACTGCACAAGACACAGTTTCCCACCAAGCTTAATCGGTTGTAACACTTAAATACCACCTGCTGCGTTTGAGATGATTGAGACGAAAACAAGTTAGTGACCAGAGAAGTAAAAAAGAGACCGAGCCCGAGAATATAAAAATCCAGGATAGGGTTGTGGGGTTTCTGTGTGTCAGAGGAAAAAGGTTGTTTGTGAGGTGGCATATGGAGCGGCCGTTATTGAAAGTTAGACGGTAGAATAACGAGGATTAAGAGCAAGAAATGTGATTAGGAAGAGCGGTGGATGGATCAAACAGACACATATAATGCCGACTGGGTTGTGTAAACCACTACCTAAGACGATCATCGTTGTCGCAAAACGGATAAAAACACTTAAAAAATGCCACACTGTTGCACTGAATGACATGTTCCTTTATTTAGATGAACCTGGCACTGTAGTTTATTTTGAGTCCAGCATGCTGCTGCTGTTAATACTCACAAGGGCATGAACTATGTATTAATCCACAGCTGAAAATAGTCCCCAACAAATTAACATTTTTGTTCATGACCTGTTTGTAAAGATTTAGTGGGAACCAATCGGCTTCAGACAGGCCGAAGGAGTCGGAAAGTATCGAGAGATTTGGCATTTATCCACAATAACAAAAACATGTTACATTTCATTAGCTTTATCCTTTAATTCAAGCTTTTGTAAACCCAGACTGGTATAGAAAGATCACATGTAAAGTATATAACAGTATGGTTTTGTCAACCGCAAACATAAATATGACCCCAAATTACCTTTCTTACAAAAAAATGAATAAAATTAGACACTGTAAGCTTCACAAATGTATATTTCATTACGTAAACATACCTGTTATGAAATGCCCGTAAACAAAAATATAGAAAATGGTCAAATCAATGCTTTCCTGGTCCTATCACAGTGGGTGTTCATTTGCATTCAAATGCATATTATTTAGTGTTTACCAGTTTTGCATGTATTCACTCTTGTGTCAATGAGTCTACAAAATCGTTTGTTATCCACTATACTTAAATCTGAAAGCATTGCCATCTTCAATAGCAGACCACAGCAATTTCTTCCATTAAAATTGCAAATTTTTCCTGGAATGAAATTATAATCAGTTCCTCGAGTTTATAGCATTCAGTGAGGAAACTCCATTTCACACATATCCAGCTCGGCTTCATGCATATATTTGGTTCATTTGATAAAAGCTGCAGATTGTTTGAATGACCCACATGTGTGCGGCCTCTTGCTCACTGTCACCTTTAACCTTTCACCCTGCAAATCTTTACCCCAATATGACTTTACAAGCCTCACTCTCCAGCCTTATAGTACCATGAAGCAGAAATCAGCTAATTACTCATAGCGCTAGTAACCCAGTTACTTTAGCTTAGTGGAGCGAAAGCTATATTTGGCAGTCACACAAGAGGAGAATTAAAGAAATGGAGAAATATGCCCGTGCCAAGAGATATGGGAAAGCATGGCATATGTTCATATGCCCTCGAGTGGAGCTGTGGAGCTGTGGACCTGCAACGAGTCTTTTTCTCACACTTTCTTTCAAATATTGTCGTAGGAGTTATCCTTCGTTCTCAGTTTTTTCCACAGTGTGAGAATAGGAAAGTCTCCGGATGAAGTAAAAAATAAAGTGTTGACACCACTCAGAAGGCAGAGGCGTGATGCACAGTGATGCAATAGAGAATTTCTGAAGCAAAATAGTTGGCAAGGGCTGCTGGGAGCAAGAAAAACAGGGTTAAGATGTTCCCCTAAAACAACATGTCCTTGTGGAATCAATGAAGGAAGATCTTAGGAGCTGTTTGCCTTCAAAGTCACCCAAAGACTTTCTCTGTGTATCACATTCTGAACTGTTTTCAAAAGCTGACAGTGCAAATAGTTTTAAGTTGTACAAATTATACACACTGACCTCAAAGATCAGGTTTTATGATATGTAATAAAAGGACGCACAAATGTCCCGATTGCAGGGATAATCAGCGTTGCTGTTATTGTAAGGTGCAAGATAAAATGTCTTCCAGAGATATGGCTTCATCCCATCGCACCGTGTAGGTCACATTGTGCTTTTATCTCCCTGCTGTCATTGCTGGTCGAGGCTATACGTTGCTCAGATCAGATTATGGTACAACTCATTTTCGGTAGGTGATCATCTACCTTCAGTTGCTCTGCTTCAGCGAGCCACCGTATATTCACATGGAGGCGATGGAGGAAAATGGAGTGTATTTTCTTTACAGGAGTTCTGTATAAGTGTATTCTGGTGGGGTTTCACATGTAACTTCATTAAAGGTATGGAAATATATGAAAAATGGCTCATAGAACAGTAAGATAAAAGGAGAGAGTCACAGTAATAAATTATAAGCTACCTACCTACCGCATGATGTATGCCTGTATTTTCCATCTTTAAAATTCTGGTCCGAGGCCTAAGCTCCTTGAAGATGATTGACATTACAAATGTCTTTTTTCCAAAGTTCTCTCTCATTCCCTCATTCCATCTCACCCCCTTTTATTTCACTCTCTGCTTCTGTATCTCTCTCCCTTTGTTGGCATTTCCCCTCTCCTTCAATTCCAACTCAAGACAGGTATTATGCAGAAGGTAATGGGGTGCAGGAACGGAGAGGAAAAATATAAGAATAGTGCTTGACAGTCATCCGTCCTTGTTAAGATCCACAGGAATTCCAGGTACATACAGTAAACAGGGCTCCAAACTGGAAGGCAAGTGGCTCATTATATGTGGGAAATAACAAGCTATTCTCTATCTGCTCTGCACAGCGAGCTAGTATTTACTGTACAAGTCCTAAAGGAGAGATTAGATTCCACTGGGCTCCAGTGGGCTGGGAGCAGAATGGCCCAGCAAGGACCTCTATTCATTAAGCCCTTAATTGCTAATTGAGGTCTTGAATGATTCAGCAATAGCTGCTGCTGTTGGGGCATTAGTTGAGTAATTTATGGCCGAGAGGGAGCAGGGAAAAAATGAACAAGGGCGAGAAAGTGTTATTAAAAAGGACATTGGTGCGTTGTTATTACACAGCCACCTTATGTTAACTCTCAAAAATCTGTACAAGGCTCTTTACTTTATAGCGGATGTGTCTGAGTTGAACTCATTATGCTCTGTGCATAGATTGAATTCATTCATAATACAATTTGACTCTAAACTCTAATTTTCACCTCAAATGTTTATTTAATATTTGCGATTAAGCATAATGTGCATAATTGTCTCTGTCATTGAATTGTTTTAGCACTATTTTCAGCTTTTATGTTATTCCCAGCAGCACTTTGATTCTTCCTCACATGTTCAGCAGCATAACAGCAGAAGCATATTTATACATTTTGACTGTGTGTGAAAATCAGTGGCAGCTGCTGACTCAAAATTTGGGGAGGACAGGAGTAAAACAGCATCATGTTGATTTCCACTAGTTGACTACTTATCTCTATTTTGTCTTTTATGTCTTTTATCAAACAAAAGAACACAGATTCAGTATACAAGGGAAAGTATACAAATGGACCAATAACAATAAAAACGGGTATATCACACAAGACAAACATTTTACAAAATAGCCATTTTGTTCGTTAAATCAGAAATAGTTTTACACATTGCTCAATATCTTCTTCAACTTATATTTATGAATGAAATATTTTGCCAACAACATTATCAAATTTACTATAACATATATCAAATGTCTTTGTATTTTGGAAGCCACCAAACGTCACATTTTGTTAAGTAAATATTGTGTTGGGTTTCTCATATTATCAATGACAAATCTGTTGATGTCTTTTTAAAATGGCTGCATAGTGATTGGCAGGGTAATATTCATATTTAATTTCAAAGGACACTTAACCTTATTCACAATCAGATATTCATAAGGAAGCATCCAGACCTATATATAATTTACAAACCGATTCCAATATGCCATCACATGTGGAAAAGGGACAACATGTCTTTGAAATCTGCCAGGTTTGGCTCCGTTATTATTGTGGGGATGGAGTGAGAAGTAAATTCGTTGGAAGTCAGCTGGTTTGAAGTTATCTCTACTTTCTTACTTTCCCATACCAGGATCCAGCCCCGGGTGAGCGGAGTGCATAAGCACGTCAGACCGCCGCAAGCCACCTTTGTCCCGCCGTGGGTCAGTCCGGACGCTAAATCATTAATAGCTTAGTTTAGCTCAGTTTAGCGTTAGCATGAAGATTACATTACATTACATTACAGTCATTTAGCAGACGCTTTTATCCAAAGCAACTTACAATAAGTGCCATACAATAAGATCTGCCATTGTTGACAATCAATCTTCTCTTCTCTCTGCAAGAAAGTAGATTATTACACAGCCAACATATGTTAGCTCTCAAAAATCTATACAATGCTCTTTTTATGGCCTATTTTCACTATTTCTCTGAGTTTAATTAATTATGTTCTGCGATTAAATACCATTCAGCCACAATGCAGTCTAACCTTCCACTCCTCATGCAAGTTTAATTGAATATTTAGTAAATACCGTGAGCATATTTTTTAGTCTTTCTACATTTGTTAGAGTGAAGGTTCTTTCTTTGTCTACAACTGACTATTAAACTACATTCTAACAGTCAGGTCAGCTACAGTCATTATTCAGGCTGTTAAATCTCCCCGAGGCTCTGTCATTGAGTGATTTCAGCACTTTTTTCAGCTTTTATGGTATTCACAGCAGCTTTTTCATAAATCCTCACATTTTATGCTGCATATGTTCTCACATAACAGCAGAAAGAGGGGAAATAACTCATACCTGCACTGCAGTGCAGTTCGTAAATTTAGACTGTATAAAAATGTAATTAGATTTCAGTCCACATTTATTCCCCTGTAATGTGTTTGGCTGTCCTTCAAAAGAACGAGG